TTAACACTTTTTTTTTAAAATTTGCAGCCACCTTTTCAGCACATGAGTTCAAAAATTAAGGTGCACAGTAAATGAAAAGTGAAATGCCAGATGTGTTTCTCAAGAAAGTTGCTAGTGAGTGCATAATATGCACAAACCATGTGCCGGTATTGCTCACCCACACTCAAGTGCATGCTATCACTGACTGCATGAAAGCCAGGAGACCTAAATCTGCGGAGGCAGCGTCAGCTTCTACCTCAAAGGTTGGTTGTTATTTGAAGGACTGGGCCGGAAGATGAGGGCTTGATGGGGAGCAGCTGCAGTGCTGCTGTGTGTGACTGTTTAGATCCACTGGCTTTTCTTCAAAATTCATTGGCTCGTTTTTTATTTCAGATTTCCTTGAACATGACACAAAGTGAAAAGATAGCTTTCAACAAGTAGTTCTATTAGCAGAAGTATTTCACTGTTTAATAATCCCAGAATTATATTGCTAGTGTAGTATCCTTAAAATAGAAAATCAGCTATATTTGGGTTCTCCAGAGAAAAAGAAACAGAACTGAGAGGATGAGTGTGTGTATATGCGTGCGCCTCATTTTTGGGGGCTTGGCTTTATTGCACTTTTCTACAAAGTGAGTCTGCAGCAACCTGGTTGAGCAAGTCTGTCAGCGCCCATTTTCCAGCAAACTGGGCTCACTTCATTTTTTTTTTTTGCAATAAAGTCTTTTTAAGGATGTGTACATTTTTTAGATACAATGCTTTTGCACACTATAGACTACAGTGTAGTATAAATATAATTCTTAATGTACTGGGAAAGCAAAAGTTCCTGCAGCTCTTTCTACTGCAGCACTCTGAAACCAAACCCATGATAAAACTGTCATCAAAATTAATGGGGAAGGGGAGAGGAGGGGAGGGAGAAAGAAAGATTCATTTTAAATGAATTGACTCACATGACTGTGGAGGTTTGGTGAGTCCGAAGCTGGGGAAGAGTTGCAGTTCCAGTACTAAGGCTATCTGCTGGCAGAATATCTTCTTGGGTTAGGAAGGTCAGCCTTTGTTCTGGACAAGCCTTCGAATGATTGGATGAAACTCACTCACATTGCAGAAGGTTTGCTTTACTCAAAGTCCACTGATTTAAAGGTTAATCTCATTAAAAAAAAAAAAAAAAACACCTTCACAGAAGCAGCCAGTGTAATGTTTATCAAATATCTGAGGCTCATGTCCCAGCCAAGTTGACATGTAAAATTAACCATCACATTAGTTACTTCCAATAAATGGTTTGATTTTCATCCAAGCTCTGGAATCAAAGTAAAGCTTAGGGAAGAGCAAGTGAAAAATGCTTGGGGCTGGGCTGTGCCTGCACTAGTGTAGCAAGGAGGAGAGTGCTAGGAGATAAGTCACAGGTAATAGGTGGGGCTTCCTGGGCATTGTGAAGGCATTGAGCTTAACTTGGAGTGACCTGGAGAGACAGTGGGCCGTTTTGAGCAAAGGGCTGACTTGATTTAACTTATAAATGTTTTAATTTATAGATAGATACTAGTTTTAAGAGGTGGGGAGGCTTCTTCAGTATTTCAGGTAAGAAATGGTGAGGAATGGACCAAAGCAAAAAAAGAAGAAGAAGGAATTAATTTTGATGACAGTGAAATATCTGATGTTACTGAGAAAATTGTTATAAATTCTATTTAAAAGTTCAACGTTGAGGCTATGTATTTATATGGTGATTTTTCCCTATAGAGATACAGATTTTGGTGGAGCACAGCACCATGGTGAAAACGGGGTTCTTATTAAATGAAGAAACATTTTAGCAGAACTATATTGCACTTGGTTGTGGTACAGAGCTAATTTATTGTGTGAAAACAAGCAGACTACAAATTTATTTCTGGAAAGGCAGGAATATGGAAGATATTGTTGGGGTATACCCCATCCACGCTTTGTTTCTCTGTTTCTGCATGCAAATATTCTAGAAAAGAACAGTGGCTTAAGGATAGCTGACACCAGAGTGCAAAATTTAAGAAAAAGTGCAGTTATTTGATAAAATTATTTTGCTAATGACAAAATTATTTTTGTAATAATTCACAATAAGTATTTTCTTGACTTCTTCCTTATTTTTATTTTTAAAAATATTTATTTATTTATGCTTACAGAACTGGGGTACAGACCAGAAGCGCAGAGGCAGTAAGAGGATTCACCAGAGACAGATTGGGGAGCTGAACAGGCAGATTGAATAAGTACACTGCTGAGGGAAGTAGCAGGCGAGACAGGAGAGGTCTGCGGTGCCATATGGTAACCTCCCTGGCCGGAATCGAATTCATGTTGAGGTGGCAACGGCTAGCTTTACAGTGCTGTGCTCCAACCTGTTGCACCACCAGGGAGGGTCCTCTTCCTTATTTTTAAAACAATTAAATTTTTGAGCCCTACCTCATAGCACAGCATGTTAAAGTGCAGCACTATAAAGCTAGCTGCAACGGCTTCAGCAGAGTTCCATCCCAGGTCAGAGAAGATCTCGCTCAGATGGCGCGGCAGACCTCTCCTGACAAGCCTGCTGCTCCCCTCAGCAGTGTGTTTCAATAGATCTGCTGTTCTGCTCCCCACTCTGTCTTTGGTGAATCCTCTCACCCCCAATACCTCTGGCCTGTACCCCAGTTCTTGTATGCGTAAATAAGTAAGTCTTAAAAAAACAATTAAAATAATTCATTCCAATTTTAAATGTATCATCCAAATTCAGAAAACTATTTCATATAGGAATCAGATTTTCACTGACCAAGCAAAAGTATTATCTTGTAGATTGTACTGTGTTTGCTGTTTTAAATTTTAAAGACAGAAGCATTCACAGCAGCACTGTCCAAAATTGCCAAGCCGTGGGACCAACCAATGACAGGCAACTGGATAAAGAAACTGTGGCATATATACTCGAAAGACTCAGCTATCCAAACAATAGGAACTAGTGCCTTTTGGGACAAAATGGGTGGATCTTGAGGTGAAGTCAGAATGTGAAAGACAGGCACTGGCTGGTTTCACTTATCTGTGGAATATAAATAACGAAAGAACACACACTGACAAACTACAGTAAACACAATTCTTGGACTCTGAAAATTATACTGGTTACCAGAGGGAAAGGGTGGGGGCTGGAAGGAACCAGAGAAGAAAGGGGATCGGACAGTGATGCAGGAAGTTTGTTGCAAGGTGATGAAGCATAGGTACCCCCAAGGTTACATAGATATGAAAACGACTGTTAAATTGATATTAAAATAAATTTTATTTATTTATTTTTAAATATTTGTTTTATTTGTGCATACAGAACTGGGGTACAGGCCAGATATGCAGGGGCGGTGAGTGGTTTCACCAGAGGCAGAGTGGGGAGCAGAACAGGCAGACCGTCGAAGTACACTGCTGAGGGGAGCAGCAGATGGACCAGGAAAGGTCTGACGAGCTATGCGGTCACCTCCGGGGCAGGCGGGGATCGAACTCATGTGGAAGTGGCTTTAGCTTCTTAGTGCTGTGCTCTAACCCGGTTACTCACCAGGGAGGGCCAAAATAAATTTTAAATGCAAATAAAAACTCTTAAGTTCCCACAGAAACTCTATTCACATAGATAACAGCATTGAAATAACAATACTCTTCTTTGTCTTTATAGTTACCAGGCTATCACTGCTTATTTCAGATCTCTATTAAAATACAGTATGTGATCTTCCAGAAGTTGGAGGAGGATGTGTAAGTCGGAAGCAAGTTGGAAGGATTCTGAACATTGGGGACCTAATTTAGAAACAAATGTGAGTAGCTGAGTTGGGATAACTTCCCAGTAGAACACAATGTTTGCTAAAAGATAATAAAAATGCTGATATGAATTTCAAAGGCCATACTCAGTTGAAATGCATTCATGTGTTCACAAAAAATGTAATAATTATAGCAGCGCTGTTTGTAATAATCCAAAAGTAGGAACTGCCCAAATATCCATCAACAGAATGAGGGACCACCTAACATTGGTATTGTGTAGGGGCTTCCCTGGTGGTTAAGCCTCACTGCTATCACCTCTATGGCCTGAGTTCAGTCCCTGGCTAGGGAGCTGGCCCACACGTGGTGCCGGAGAGCTGAACCTCATGGTCCATCAGACTTCTCTTGTCTCCCAGGACACTCCCCTCAGCAGTGTATTTCAGTGTTTCACCTGTTCTGCTTCCTCGTCTGACTCTGGTGGGTCCTTTCACTCTCCCCAGCACCTCTGGCCTTCACCCCAGTTCTTGTATGCAAAAATACATAGAATCTTTTAAAAAATCTACAAAAAAATCTTACTTTGTGGAAACAATTGGTGGTTCAGAGTCTGACTTTCTGGTCAGTAACACTTTCAGTCGAAGGCTCTTTCCAGTATAGCCTGCCGCCTCTCTGTGATAGATAAGGAAGAAGAGAGACTGAGGAAGTATGGAGAACATACTTACCATACATAAGAGCTCGAATTACAACCGCTACCATTTCTTGAGCACCTACTGTGTGACTGCACCACCCTCAGCACTACACCATATGTACAATCACATGGAGATAATACCCATGTATAGAGACATGTAGCATCTCCATTCCTCTTAAGGATCGTGCTCAGATCCTCGTTTTACTGAGATCAACGGAGAGGTTCATGGAGTCTGATTTGCACAAGGTGACAGAGCACAGTTAATGGGATCATTTCGGATACGCACACTGAGCTGGCTGACTTTCGGGCTCTAAGTCCCAACTCTCCGAACCTGTTAAGGATTTTTATGGGAACTGGGCTACGAATCAGGAAATGAGAATCTGCAATGCAGTGCCTGGTGTTAAGAAGGGGATGTCCAGCAAAGAGGGGGCACGTGGTGCCTGTAGCCCCAGGGTTTCGAGCCGCCGAAAAGGAACTCGGGAGACGCTAGGCGGTGAGGAAACTGGGGCGAAGTATGTGTCGCCACAGCTTCGGGAAGAAAATCCCAATAGCCACCTCGCGACTGGAAACCGGTCGGCACCGGCCAAGCCCCGAGGGGGCGGGGCCGGGGCGGGGCCGGCAGCGGAGCAGGGGGCGGGGCGAGTCGCTGCTGCTTTCCCGCTGAGGCGCCTCGCTCTCCGACGCCTTCGCCTCCTCTTGGCCTCCGCTGCCGCCTTCCTTTTGCTCAGACTGCCTTCAGACGACGCGACCGCAGTTTCCGTTATGGCGACCCGCAGCCCCAGCGTTGTGGTGAGCAGCTCCGCTCGCAGCACTAGTAGCGGCCAGGCCCTGAGGCGCGGGGGCAGCCGGACTACGCCTGCGAGACACGCTGAGGGCGGGGGGCGTTTAACTGCCCGGGCTGGGGCCTGACGTCACTCCGGGGCGGCGGGGCGGTGGGAAGGAGCCGGGGGGCGGCGGGGCGACGCTTGGGGTGCGCTCAGCCTCTGGAGCGCCGCGGGCGAGGAGGGCGGCGATGGCGTTGTAGTTTGACATGTGGTTTTGGTGAGGGGCGGCCGCAGGCCGGGGTCGGATTCGGGGAGGATCTGGCCCGTGAGGGTGGGCGCTGGCTCGGGAGAGGCCCCTCTCTGGCGTCGGGATGGCGGAGAGGCTCTCTGGGAAGCTGGAGAGGCGCCTGGCTTGGAAACGCCACATGAAGAGCATGTGGGGAACCGCCATTTCATTGCACTGGGGTCTGCAAATTCATGAGGAAGACTTGTGGAACGCGCGTGGCCTCATTGAGTCCCCCTCCTCCCGCCCCCCCCCCCCGCCCCCCCCCCCCCCTGCCACTGCCACCCCCCCCCGCAGCCTTGCCGAGCTTTTTTTACATTCCAGAAAATCGTGAAGATACTGGGTCAGCTGCTCGCCGCCCTGCGGAAGCCAGGCCTCGAGTTCAGAAACGCTGAGGTCGGGATCCCGTGCTCTTAGGCAGCAGGGGACAACAAACGCATTTCTGCTCCTTCCCGTCAAGGACACTCATCCCCTCAACAGCTTTGCCTATTCTGTCTCCACCATCATTGGTTCTCCTTCTTGTTTCTCGAACAAGCCAAGCCGCCCCCTTTCTGATCTTATTTGCTAAAGCGCCCCCCTCCCCCGCCCCAATTATCCCGCAGCGGGATTATCCTCACCATCCTGGTCGTCGACGCGGTATTAGCAGCCATGGGATGACCTGTTGATTGTCGCCCTCCCAAAGCGTAAACTTTATGCGCAGGAATCACAGCTGTAACCCTAGCACATTGCACTGGTTGTCAGGTTCATAACAAATTCTCATAATGGTTTGTTGAATGAATAACTTAAATAAACCACGTGTGCCCAAGAAAGGGAGGATTGTTGCGTATTGGGCTTTGTGATAAGTTAAAGACCAGAGTTTCTCTATGGAATCTGGCCTGGAATCCTGCTGCTAGGGCTGTGGACCTGCAGTGTGGCCTTGGGCAGTTTATTTTACCTTTCTGGGCTAAAGGGTTCGACCTCTGTTGCTAGTAAAAGGATTGTAAAACAGGCTACAGGAATAAACCACCTCTGAAGGTTCCTTTACTGTAATGATAACTATCCTATGCTTACCTTCACCGACCTGTTTAGTACTCAGAATAACGACCCATTACTACCAAAGAGGTGGAATCTTTGAAGACTTGGAGCAATGAAGTAAGCTGTTAATATAACACACGTGAGCCTCAGACTGAAATCTTGCCCCTCTCAAGAGCCTGTGCACTTAAATGCACTAGTAGATACTGAAAAAATGATGGTGGTTTTTTAAAGTTACTGAGGAAGTTGGAGGTACTTTTCATTTGGGTAATGATGCCTGCTCTAGCATACCATAAACTATTACTAGAACTGGCTGCTATTAGTCTTGCTTGAACATCAAGATAGTCTTTGTGTTTAGTTTGCAAATTCTTGTTCCTTTTTTTATTTCCTTCCCAGAAATTGTGTGCATGTTAGTAATAACAAGCATTTAAGTAGTACTTACTATGTACTGCTCTAGACCCTTTACATTTATTAACTGGTATGATATTCATGAAAAAGTAATTTATTAGAGAATTTAAGTGACTTATCCAAGATCATCCAGCAGTGCTAGATCTAACTTGAATCTAAGTTATCTATTCTAGAGTGCTCTTGCTCTCTCCTTTTTCAAGTCCATAGTGACCATAGTAGCTGTTTTTTTTTTTTAAAGCTTACTGTGTTTAAGGCACTGAAGTTGATATTACGCAGACATTAACTTAAATGTCCTAAATTACACAGTAGGTACCCTCTGAGGTAGATAAACACTAGTGTGACCTTGGAGGCACAGACTGAGGAAGTAGTTTGCCCAACATATGGAGGAATTGGCTCCCACATCTGTCTGCCTGCTGTAATCCATGCTGTTTGTAACTATCATATTAAACTGCCAGGGTAAACTTGACATGCTTGAATTAAGACTAATTTCTGAATTTTTGCAAATTAGAGCAAGAAGCATCAGAAATGCAGTATGTGACAATGGTATCTTCTAAATTTCACAATGGTACTGCTAGAAATGTAATCCTGTACTAACTGGTCTTAAATCTTGCCTTGTCAGTTGTTAAAAAATTGATGAAATAATGCATTTTTTGTATTAATCAACAACCTTACTGTTTTTATCAATAGGGCTTTGATTGACATTAGTCAGAATAGACCAAAATTATTCTTTGTGGCCACCAAGAAACGGAGTTCAATTTGGGGGTTTCATTGTGCAAATTGTGTAGTCTGACGCCCATGTTGTACATCTATTTTGTATTCTCTCCATTGTTTGCAGAAAGTTCATAGGCAGAAGGTGGGAAAAAGACAAAAGGACCAACCAGATCAGCAAAGAAGTCTCAGAATTTTCTTTTAGTTTTCTGTAGTTCATTAAGCAGTAAGTGGATCGTGTCATTTTTTCCTGCTGGTGGTGAAGAGATGCTAAAGATGCACTGGTATACTCTTAGGGTTTTCTGTAATTTTGTATGGATTCAGTAAGATTTTGAGCCTATAAAAGTGCACCATCATTAGTATCAATAATGAGATTTGATTGCTGTTTTCCTGCAAGTGGCTACCAAATTACATTAGAATAATTTGCTACTAGTCAGAATTCAGATGACAACTTCAAAGTGCTATAAAACTGTCTTCAACTCTGTACTTCAGATAAATTGATAGATATATTTTTGTGTCTGGAGTGAACATACCTATTATTCCACTGTGTACACTAATGTAAGAAAATGTCATTGTGTTGGATAAATTCATTTCCTTGCACATCTAATAGTTATGGACTCACTTAACTAGATCAGCTAGTAATTTATCCCTGCCTTGAATAGGTAAGAAGGCTTAATTCTTGTTTAAAATATTTATTTACTTATGTATATAAAAGTTGGGGTACAACCCAGAGGTGTGGGTAGTGAGGATTCACTAGGGACAGAGTGGGGAGCAGTACCAGGCAGAATGAGTGAAATACGTTGTTGAGGGGAGCAGCGGGTAGGACTGGAGAGGTCTGCTGTGCCACGTGGGTCACCTCTCTGGCCTCTTGGCCAGCCACAATGCAACTCGCATTGCAGTGGCTGCACACAGCTTCATAGTGCTGCACTTTGTTTAACTCACTTGTGCCACCAGGGAGGGCCCAACATGTTTTTTATGCTTGTAATAACAAACAAATCCTTTGACATTAAACATAACATAAATCTAATAGTAGTGATTGAAAATAAAAACTCATGCATTGGAAATTCATTTGGTTTATTGACAAAAATAGAATTCCTATTTGGGAATACATACCTCTGGTCTGTCTATGTTAGAATATCTGTAGCTAAACTATGCCATTTTCACAGAAGCAGTAGTCTTTAGAAATGTTGCATATTTCAAAGAGTCCTACATGGTCTTTATGTTATGGCAAGAACAGTGAGTAGCTGGGAAGGAGGGGTGTGAGAAGCTACAGGGGAGCCATTTTAGTGCTGCGTATCTTCTTGATTTTCGAGCACAATGAAATGGTTCGTTTTGTTCTTGTCAGGTAGTAGATATATTTTGATGAGCCTGACATGAGTGTTTATTCTCTCACTTTATAGGATTAAGCGAGGCCTATCTTCTTTTCCCCAAACTTGAACTACATTTCATTTATAATTTATTAAAGTTGTAAAGTACTCTCAAAATGCTCCTAAAAAGTGACACAAATATCCCATTTACTTTCTTTTTTGTAGTCAGTGTGTTCTTATATAAGCATGATGTGACTATTTAGCAGATATATTAGCACTTCATTTTAGAGGTTCTAGCATAATCTTTTTTCCCCCAAGTATAATTTTTTTCTTGCTTATGAAAGTAATACATGTTTGTTTAAAAACAAACCAATATTGACTTCCTACTTCTCTGCACACCATGTGCTGGGCTATGCTTGGGGGCATATTGTTATTTAGTTGAATTACTGCCAGCCTCCTGGCCCTGTGCACAGGCAGAAGTGGTGTACAGTACTTACAGCCTGACATGAAAAATACCCAAAATGCCATGAAGTCTGGATAACTCAAACAGGGCTTTTGAGACTAAGAGAGAAATGACATGAACCTCAAATTTCTCAGAATATAATTAGGAATTTCATGACTAATATAAATATGAAATGTGTGTCTTTAAAATTTATTGAAAGTCATGCTACTATCCTTAAACACCTATAGATTGCTGCCTGAAAGACTTGATGCTGAATATTGACTGATACATTGAGATCTAATTATGGTTTGACTCATATTTTTTGAAAACAGCCAAAGCTTTTATCATCAGCTTCTTGAATTAATTTGTAATATATTTAGTCTTAAATATCAGGTGAGATAGATTATTATAATTCTGATTTTTGAATGAGCTTTGAACATGGTAAATGGGAATTATAAATAAACTATAATAAAAAAAGTGAAATTGATGATAGAAAAATCAGTATCAAAGTGTGGAGAGTGGCAAGTTTTCAGTCACTTTAATTGACTGTAGTTTGGTATATTCCTCCTTATTCGCCCTTCCTTCATTTTTTTTCTCTCCTTTTATTCCTTTGCATTACACTATTTTGTATGTAGATTTATTTTAATATATTTTTGAATTTCCCTATACTTTATATATGTGTATATATGTGTACTTTATGTATATACTTTATATATATGCACATATATATAAAGCATATGGTATAAAAATAATATATAAGAAAGACTTGACTTTTTTTAGTCATTATTTACTCATTTATTAATTTTTTTTAATTATTACAAAAGTTTATTTTTACATCATTTTGCACATTTTTTTTTTCCATCTCGATTGTAATCCCCGCGGGTTTCCCATCACCAAATCACCCGTGTGCCACCATCATAGTCCCGTGCATTTCCCTTCCCCC